TTTTATTTCTTCATTTTGGAACTCTCCAAGTCCTTAGTCCATCTCTTCATTGGGCCATTTATTTTCTTGTTTCTTTGTTTTTTGAGTTCTTTATATATTCTGAATATTAATCCTCTGTTGGATGTGTAGCAGATGAAGATTTTCTCCCACTCAGTGGATTTCCTCTTCACTTCTCTGTTTTTTTTTCTTTTGCTGTACAGATATTTTTAGGTTTAATGAGGTCCCACTTGTTGATAGTTAACCTTAATATTTAAGCTACTGGATTCTGAAGTAGAAAGTCCTTTTAAATGCTTATATCTTATATGGTGCTGCCTATGCTTCTTTTAGCATTTTCAGAGTTTCAGATTTTATAGGAGTTCATTGATTCATTTGGAGTTGACTTTTGTCCAGAGTCAAATTTAATTCTTCTACAGATGGAGATCCAATTTTGCCAGAATGATTTGTTGAAGATGCTGTCTTTCCTGCAGTCTGTGTCCTTGGCAACTTTGCTAAATATCAAGTGGCTGAAATTGCATACACTCATGTTTGGGTCTTCTATTTTGCTCCATTGATATACATGCCTTTTTTTATTTGCCAGTACCATGGTATTTTTATGACTATAGCTCTGCAATACAGTTTGAGATTTGGTATGATGATTCACCCAGCATTGCTCACTTTTACTCAGATTGCTTTGGCTGTATTTTGTGATTCCACATAAATTTTCAGATGATTTTCTTTAGCTTATGGGGATTATGATCGGCATTACATTGAATCTAGAGATTGCTTTTGGTAAGATGGTCAATTTCACAATTAATTCTCCCAATGAACATAGTAGGTCATCTGGTGTCTACCTCTATCTCTATAAAGATTTAAGTTTTTCATTGTAGAGATCTTTAATGCCTTTTGTTACATTTATTCCTAAGAAATTTTTGAGACTATTGTGAGTGGGAGGGTTTCATTGAATGCTTTTTACAGTAGCTTGTTACTAGTATATAGAAAAGTTACTGATTTTTGTAATTTGATTTTGTAACCTATCACTTTACTGAAATTATTAATAATTTCTAGCAGTTTTCTGGTGGAATTTTTGGGATCTCTTATGTATATGCAGATCATATTATCTGCAAATAGTGGCAAATTGACCTTTTCTTTTCCAATTATTATTCTTTTCATTTTCTTCTTTTTCCTTTCTGCTCTAGCAAAAGTTTCAAGAACTGTATTGAAATGGAGTGGAGAGAGTAGACAGTCTTTTCTGGTGCCTGATTTTAATGGACTGCTTCCAGTTTTTCTCCGTTTACAATGATGTTGGCTATGGTTTTGTTGTATGTAGTCTTAATTAAGATGAAGTATGTTCCCTCCAGTCCAATTTCCTCTAGGAATTTAAACATGAATGCATGCTGTATTTTGTCAAAGGCCTTTTCAACTTCTATGAGATGACCATGTGATTTTTAAGTCCAATTATATGATTTATTATATTATCAACTTACATATTTTGAACCATCCCTGCATCGCTGATATAAAACCGACTTGATCATGCTGGATGATCTTTTTGATGTGTAACTGTATGTGGTTTGCAAGTATTTTGTTGAGAATCTTTGTGTCTATGTTCATTCAGGAAATGGACATATAGTTTTCATTTGTGCATGTGTCATTGCCTGGTTTTGGTATTAGAGTGACACTGGCTTCATAGTAGGATTGGGAGTTCTCCATCTGCTTCTATCCTTTTGAATAATTTAAGAAGTATTTGGTGTATATCCTCTTTGAATGTCTGGTAGAATCCTGCTGTGTATACATCTGGGGTGACTGGGAGATTTTACTGTTTCAATTTCTGTATTACTGTGTAAATTTCCTTATTTATTATGGGTCTGTATAAGCTGTTATTCTCTTCTTGGTTTAATTTTGGTGATTTCCATGAAGTTAGAAATTCATCCATTTTTTTAGATTTTCAAATTTGATAGAGAATAGGTTTTTAAATATTCCCTTATAAAGTTCTGGAACTTTTTGGTGTCTGTTGTGATATTTCCTCTTTCATAATTAATTTTGTTAATTTGCATTTGCTTGCTTTCTTTTATCTAACTGGGCTAAGGGTCTCTCTGTCTTCTTTAACTTTTCAAAGAACCAGTTCTTGGATTCATTGGTTCTTTGCATTGCTTTGTTTCTATGCCATTAATTTCTGTTCAGATTTTTGTTATTTCTTCTCATCTACTAGAATTGGGTTTGGTTTGTTCCTGCCTTTCTAGAGTCTTGAGTTATACTGTTAAGTCATTTATATATGCTCCTTCTGATTTTTTAATGTAGGCATTTAGTTATCAACTTCCTTGTTAGGACTGGTTCTAAGGTGTCCCAGAGGTTTTGTCAGGTTGTACTGACATTTTTATTTAATTCCTCAAATATTTTATATCTTTCTTAATTTCTTCTTTTACCCATTCATTAATCTGGAGTGTGTTGTTTAATCTCTATAAGTTCATGCAGTTACTAGAACTTCTGTTGCTGTTTATTAGAAGCTTTATTGCATTTTGGTCTGATAGAATGCATGAAATTATTTCATTTTTTGTATTTGTTGAAGTTTGTTTTGTGCCCCAGTATGTGGTCAGTTCCAGAAAAAATTTGCATGGGTTGCTGAGTAGAAAATGTATTCTTTGAGACTGGGTAGAATATTCTGTAGATGTTAGGTCCATTTCACGCAAGATGTCTGTTTATTCTTTGTTCAGTTGACCTGTCTATTGGCAGGAATGAGGTATTGAAATCCCCTACTATTGCTGAGTTGGTATTAATCTGTGTTTTATAGTCCTGTAGTACTATTTTTATGAAATTGGGCATACCAGAGTTTGATGCACATGTATTAATGATTGTGATATCTTCTCAGTCAGTTGTTCCTTTGAGTAGAATGAAGTGACCATCTTTGTCTCTTCTGATTAATTTAAATTTGACGTCTATTTTGACAGATATTAGAATTGCAACACCTGCTTGGGTCTTAGTGCCATTTATGTGGGATATTTTTTTTCATCCTTTCAGCCTAAGGTAGTGCCTATCCTTGAAGGTGAAATGAGTTTCTTGAAGACAACAAACAGATGGATTTTGTTTCTTAATCCATTCCAATAATCTATTTCTTTCGACTGGGGCATCAAAACCATTGATATTTAGCATTATTATTGAAAGATATGTATTGGCTACTGTCATTTTAATTGCTTTATGCTCTTGGCCCTATTTTGTGTTTCCTTAATTATACTTCCCTTTCTTTTCTTTCTGTAACCTCTGGGATATAGTTATTCCTATCTTCAGTCCTTTGTACTGCATCAAGTATTCTCCACAGGGCTGGTTAGGTGTGGACATGAATTCTTTCAGCCTGTTCATGTCATGGAAAATTTTCCATTCCCCTTTTCTGGGTAAAGTATCCAACGTTGGTATCCATGGTCATTTAGAACTGAGATTCATAGTTTGCATTGAATAGTCAACTATAATTCTGATGGACTTTTCTTTATACATAATTTGTTTTTCTCTAGCAGCTTTCAGTAGCCTCTCTTTGTTCTGTACATTTAGTCTTTTTAGTATGATATGCCATGGAGAGTTACTGTTCTGGATATGTTTAGTTTTCTGTGTGCTTCTTGAATCTGTACAGGTATGTCTTTCCTTCATTTAGGGAAATTTTCCTTCTATGATCTGTTGAAGATCTGGTTAATGCCATTGGCCTGAGATTCTTATCCTTCCTGTATGCGTATGATGTGTAGATTTGGTCTTTTCCTGGTATTCCACCTTTCCTGAATATTCCATTCCTCTTTTTCTTTTTTTAATATTTTGTAGTCTTTGCTTAAAGAGTCCAGTTCTTCAACTTTGTCATTCAGTCTTGATATTTTGTTTTCCCTTTTATTCATTATACTTGTGAGGCTTTTCCTATTGTTTCAAATTGATTTATTGAGTTTTTCAACTCCATCTTTATTTCTGCTTGGGTTTACTTCAATATTTCTATCTCTTTTGTGAATTCTCTTTACAAGTCTTAAATTGTTTCTGTTATTTCATTCAGCCACATATTAGTATTTTTTTGAACTTCCATCATAAATATCATATTGCTCTACTTATTCTTTGATCAATAGCCTTGCCTCCAATGTCCATTATCTTGACAGCATTTACATAAATATCTTTCGCCAGATAATTTAAAATAGTCAGCAACATCTGAAACTAAATATTCCATACACAATTATATCTGACCTTATTCAAATAAGATCCCCTCCAATTTTTCCATATAAACAACAAGCTCCACAGAACACTTAGTTGACCAAAATTAAACTCCTATACTAACCTACTGTTCTTCATTTCTCTAACATTTATTATGTAATCCACCAGTCAGTAAATCCAAAACACAACTCCAGCATCCAAGTTTCACTCTAAATACACTATTTAGTGTAGGTCTTGTGTTAAAAACAGCAACAAAATACAACTCAGTGATTCTCTTATGCCTAAAACTATTTAATATCTTTATTACCAGGTTTAGAATAAAAAAAGAATCTTTTAAATATTACAAACCTGATTTTTTAGCTCTCTTCCTCTATCACTGCATGATTTGAAGTTACTTTGCATCCTACAACTCACTTCTTTGTTGTTTTGGTCCATGCACTCCACTAAAGACTTTCTCCATCAAGGCCTTCACACTTAAATACTTCATGTATGTGGAACATGCTTTCTTAAATTCTTGTTCAACTTTGAGTTTTAATTCACTGTACATACCCTTGAACATCCAATCAAAATGAATTCTCTCTTACAGAACCTTGTTCTTTGACTATGTAAGACTAAGGGTATTGCTATATTATGAGTAGATTTACTTTCTAATGTTACAATATTACTGTATAGATTCTTGAAGATACAGTGTCTAATTTACTAATAATTTTTATCTAACCCATAACACAGTGAATAATCCTTATAATTACTCAAACAGTTATACTCTGGTTTCTTTGAATTGTAGTCACAATAGGATATATGCTATGTGAAAACTATTACAAAATTATGATTACCAGGTGGCTAAAATTTACCTGATATTCTTAGTCCAGGTATATTCAATTCCAGCATTGGAACTTTAGAAGTAATAACATCTCGCTTACATTTTTCAACATTTCCATCGTTTAGAATCATGTCCACAATTTCACTAATCCAAGTGGTACCTATAGCAAAAGCCAGTGTTTTTAAAGTCAGTGATGAATTTACTTTTCATGTTTCAGTTTTTAATTTGTTTGAAAATTTCATACATGTATACAGTGAAATATTTCTCAGGGAAGGAAGTACCCATTGGAGGTTATCATTTTAGGATCATCTATTGGAAGCTCAAGTCTGCAGTTTCCATTTCTATGTCCCAAATGCTCATTTGCACAATACAAGTAAACGACTCTACTGACTGATAAGGATACTTTGCTTAAGATGATAATGAATTTAAAACAGACATTTATTTACAGACATATAAAATTGAGGTCGTGGCTGCAAAGCTGACTCAGGATTTAAGGCTACTTTCTGCTCTTTCAGAGGACCTGAGTTCTTTTCCCAACACCCTCGTTTGTTGTTTGGCAGCTTACAAGCACATGTAACTCCAGTTCCAGGGGATCTGACATCCTATTTGGCCTTTGTGCATACTTACATATTTTTGGAACACACACACACCTAAAATTTTTAAAAGAATCTTTTTTAAAAACCTTGAGATTAGTTATACATTACTCAGGACACAGTACTCACCTGATTTAGGGTAAGAGATTATCACAATGTCATCTGGCTTGCTCTGAAACTGTTCAATCCTTTCCCAGTTGTCTGTGAAAGCATAGACCATGGGGTAGCCATGGACCATCTTCAGATTTTTTCGATAAATGTCTTCTGGGCAACTCATTTTTGTAGCAGATTATACAAATAATGCAGTGGTTATCTATTTTCAGTCAAATTGTAGAGAAAGAAAAGCAAAAATCACAATCTGAGAGAAAAATATTGAACTTAAGACACTGCAGTATAGTATAATGTGTACTTGGACTTTATCACAGTGTATATAGAAAGGTTCAAAGGGCATCCTTTCATAAAGTCTCTGATTGCAAGAGCAACAACCAGTTCCATGCCAAGCAGAACAAAAGTCTTTAGTAGACTCTTTGAGGAGAATGGGACTAAACACCTTTGAAATAAAAGTAATTTTTCACGGAAACATGCTTAAAAATCCCTATTTATAATAAATCAGTTTATCTGGACCAACTGTATGGCCTTAAACACCCAAAAGGAAAGTATAACCAAAGATTAAAGGGACCAATATAATTTCTTAAGAGTCCATATGCATAGCTCAAGGCTACACAACAAGCAACAATGCCAGACAGGCGATACCTTCTTTTGAGTTGTTGGCCAGGATGGCCAAAGGGACTCCCAGATAGTAACCCAACATAGAACTGGGAAAATGAACAGTAGACCCCAATCTTATCCAGAGGAATATCAACTGATTTCTGCTAGATGAAAAACAGCTGACCCTTCTAAAACAAAGACCTCTAGATAGGGTGACGAGATTCACCAGAAGGGCAAGTAGTGGCAAATGGCTGGGGTGCCGACAACACAGCAGACAGTAGCAGGGATATCAGAGTATAAGGACTCTAGTTGGGGGAGGGAGGCTATGGGAAGGTCCTATCTGGGAGGTGGGTATAAAAATAAATAAATAAATAAAATTTTTAAATCCTTATTTATAGTAAAATATCAGCACATTAATTATAACCTCACTTTTCTTGAGGGGAAGTCTATTGTCTTTCTGACTTTTTATCTGAAAGTAATTTTGTCAACTTCTAAGATGTGTTTCTTTGTCAGTTGCCTTGAGGAAATGAGTTGTTATGATCCTGTGTATGGTTATTTTTGTATGTGTACATGTGTGAGCTCATGCACATAAACATACCCTTCACCTGTAGTGAGCTCCTGGTTTATAGTTTATATTAAATTGGGCAATTTAAGCCAGTATTTCTTAACCTTTTCATCTTTATTTTGTAGTGCTGTTTTATTTAAAGAATATTTAACTCTTAGACCTAGCTGACTCAATTTCCAGTCCATGTGCTGTTGGCCTCATCTGAGATCTCAATATTCAGGATCTCAGGTTCCCATATAACATGAAATTTACATTTTGAAAAGTCTCACAATCAACAATTCCTTTAAATTTGATAAGGATGACTTTAAGCCACTTATTTTCTAACAATGTTTTAAATAAGTGATTGGTTGAAATGAATTCAGTGTCTTCTAGAAAACAAATTGCATTGATTGTGTTTAATATGAATTATCTCCACACCTTATTCACTCTTAATATGTATCTTACATTTATTGTTGATGAGAAGAGAAAACAGCTTTGTCTGTGTCTGCTCAGAGACTCACATATAAGGAGTGGCCATGGAAATGAACTTTGGTCTACTCCCTTGCTCATGTTGTATTCACCTGAGGCCCAGCCCTTAGTTTTAAAAGATCTGAGGTTTATCTCATCAAATATGAGTTTTCACAATATTAAGGAATCTTTTCTTCAGCAAAGGGAACTCCTCTCTGACTAAAGTTCAAGTTCTTCATGCTGGAAAAATGTTGCCAGAAAAGAATGGATTGAGTAACTGTAAGTCAGCCATTTCTGAATGTGAGCTCATATGGTCAGGGTGGTGGGGTGACCAGTGTGAAACTTACAGGTTATTAGGCTGGAGTGAGGGTAGTATATGACTGTTCATAAGTGCAGGATTACAGGAGGAATAGTATAGAATGGGCAAAGCTGCAAGATACAAGATGATTAATGATGTTGAATCAGACATGCTAAAAGATGGGGCTCATTTTAATGTAAGAAAGTTTTTTTTTTTTTACAACAAACCATTTAAACAATATAGGAAACTACTGTAGAATTTTAGTGGCTATAACTAATATATTGTATATGTGATACACAAAGTCTTCATGTTGAGACATAAACTAAAATAAGAATGTCTAAAACTGTTTAGGTAAAATTGACATAAAAGCATAACTCTCACCTCAAAGGGGATAAGAGATAATTTATTCTGAATCCAAACATGAGTGATCATTACCCAGGAACACAGATTCAGGTTACCCAAAATTCCATGTTCCAACATGGTAACAGTTTTATAGAATTTGATAGTAACAAAACAAAGAAAAGTAATAAGTAGAAAACACATTTCAAATACATTGGTAGGTAATTCAGTATGTAGGTCACGGCAAAGCGGAAAATTTTTATTAGAGGTCTCAGATTCTATCTGATGACATTATTAGCTTTTTGATCGGGGGACCTGGTGGTCTGCTACGTTAATACATTCCTAAAGGATTTTATACATTAGTCATCGGATGGTAAATCAGAAACAAAGGTGGGTATGGAGTGCCTATTTGGGGGCTAATGATGGCCCAAGATAAATAGTAATTAGTCACTGGCCCTAAAATATTCCACACTCTCCACAATCACTGAAGTTCTAATCAGTTGATCAGCCTTTATAGAATATTGAGCTTCAAGATGCAATTTTTCTGGGAACTTTGGTTCAGGAAGATTAATAGATTAAAACAGAATATTTAAGTGTTCCTTAAGAGAAAATAACTGAGTCATCTGACATTAAGACTGAATGATTCCTCTAATGAAAATGTTTCTGTAATCCCAACTACTGGGGAGGCTGAGGCAAAATGGCATATTTGAAGGATGACTGTGCTATATAGTGAGTTAAAAGTCAATCTTGGGTATTTAGTGTGACATGTTTTAAAAATAAAAAGAGGTCTGGAGGCTCAGTGTTTGGATGCTTGTCTAACATGCACAAGGCACCATACTCCCAAAATAACAAAGTCTGTTTCATTCACTGACAAAGTTCAACTTTTTCAGCCAAATTCATCCATGCTAAAAAAGTAACAAAATTCAATTCTGTCTGCTACACATAAACTCCAGCTCCTGATACAAATGCAGTAAACAAATAGCATGGTCTGCATTCTGAAATGTGTAACTGTGTGCCTATGCACACATATAATACTGTTTGGAAGATGGAGCAGATAAATGAGAATTCCTTTTTTCTTAAAGTGGCTTAAAGTTCATGAGAGGATCCCCAATCCTAGCATGTTTCTACAGAATTCTATTTAATGCAGAGAAACAAAATGAATATTGAAAGTTAGAGACAGTCTCCTCCACAGCATACATACAACACTGAGATTTCTGTGGAAAAGCAGGAATTATGCAAAAGGCATCACATTGCAAAACAGTTCAAAACAGAAATTCTCTGTGGATATAAGAAAAAAACCTTTAAGGAAAGATATTTTAAAAATTTACCTCACAGTGTTTGAATTTCAGACAATGAAGCTGTTGCTGAGAACGCTTGGAACAGGCAATCTCACAGAAAGGGCAGAACAGCTCTTCCAGGGGAAAATAATGTTCAAGGAAGGACCTGCCAGAGTAGTTTATGACTTTACAGGTAGTCAAAGGTTGAAAGGTTTGAAATACACAACATGTTTATATTCAAGGTCCTGCTGTTTTAACAGCTGTCTGAGACAGAAAACAGTGAGGAGGAAGTGAATCAGGGTGGTGACCAGGAGGCAGGCATGCAGGGGTTGCTTTTAGGTGAACTTTGCCAGCTACACAAGGTCTGACAGAACTGCAAAAGGAAAGAGCATGAAGGCTCAGAGGATCAAACACACTGCTGTTTCTGCTTCTAGAACAATGTCATCTTACAATTTTGAATAATTGTTTTGTCTATGTGTTTTCATCTGAAAGAAGCCTGAGTTTCCAATAGTATAGAAATATAAACTATGCCAATATATACTAAAATGAAATGTCTAACTGGAAAGCAGAGATACACAGGGAGGAGCTTATAGATTCTCAAAGGCATTGCAGTGAATAACTTTTAGTAGGGTGGTCATTTTCACTATATTAGTTCTACCAACCCATGAGCACAAGAGGCCTTTCCATCTCCCTGTGTTTCCTTCTCTTTCTCAAAGATTTAAAGTTTTTTTGAAAAGGTTTTTAATGTTTTGGGTTAGGTTGCACACAGGTAGGCATAGATACAAAGACTGACATACAGGCTGCAGGGAGTAGACACACAGGCCTACACACATTCATACAGGCAAGCTTGTGAAGGCAAAGTCAAGGCCATATTTATATAGAGTCACACAAAAGTAGCATTCTGCAAAAATAGTTATATAACATAGTACATAACTGTTTGGAGGCTATACTGAATGGAAGGGTTCCCCTAAATACTTTCTCTGATTACTTGTTAATTTTATATAGAAAGGTTACTGATTTTTGTGCATTGATATTGCAACCTTCCACTCTGCTGAAGTGCTGATCATTTCTAGAATCTGGTCTTTTATGTAAAATACCATATCATCTACAAATAAGCATAATTTGACTTCCTCTTTCCCAATTAGTATCCCTTTAATTTCATTTCGTTTTCATATTGCTCCAATTAGAGTTTCAAGCTATATTGGAAAAGAGTGGGGATACCAGAGTATCCAGCCACTCTTCCCAGCCAACTGTATGTAATTTGGCCCTAATCACACATGGTCTCCTGGATTTGGGGACAGCTAAAGTGTACAATCTGGGGAAGGCTAAGAAGAGAAGGCCTCAACCATGCTGCGTAAAGGCTTTCCAGTGTTCATACTCTCAGGTCATTCATACAATTCAGCAACCCCTCATCTGTCTCGGTAAATAAGCTCAGAAAATTCACTGGTTCCCCAGTAAAACTTTGATCAAACATTGGTTTGACACTAGAACCTTAAAAGGGAATAAGCATTGCTTAGTATCCCCAAGAAAAGAATTCTCACAACAGACGGAAAATTTATTTGTTAAAAAACATAGAAAATGTGAATGTACAAGATGTTAAAAGGATATGGGAATGGAGATATTGTCCAAAATAGAAAAAAATG